GGGGTGGGTGTGTGTCTCCCCGGTCGGAGCCCCCCACCCGGAGCCCCCCACCCGCGTCCGGGAGGAGGCGTGGAGGGGCCGCGCAGCCCGCGGGGGTGGTCGCGGTGCCGCTGTCTCTCGGTCGGCGTTTTGTTTTGTGCGGCAGAGAAGTTAGAAATGGATTAATTCATGGAAATCACGGGAACTTTAAAAAAAGTTGTGTGTTGTGGTACAGGCTAATTACGGCGTTACGGAAATTAATGGGGAGGCGAGAGTGAAGGAGTTGGGAGAAGATGGTCTTGTTAAGAAGAACCTCTTGCATTAAGGTGTCCCCAAATATTTCCAGGGGTATTACGTTCAGTCGGGATTGCTTAAGAGATTGTAGACAAGCACGTCTCTGTTTATGCAAATACAGAGAAAAAGAAAAATGCTTCCCCAGGCTACGGGATCGTTTCGACCTCAAAATTGAAGAATAGATGGAGATTTCGGAAAACGTTCTCAACTTTTTCAACACCGGCGTGGGGGGGGGGGAATAAAATCTCTCCCTGCAAACAAATGGAGAGCTGCCCTCATTTTGGGATGAGCTGTGTTTTTGGGAATGTCCTTTGCCGTGAGGGTGTAGACCTGCGTCCGTGATGGGTTCCAGTGAAATGGAGGAAGATAGTTTTGTTGGTTTAAAACTGTAAGCACACAGCTGTCTTATTAATAAAAGTTCGTTGCATAATGACGGGTGCAGCAGTGCAGTTTGTCTTTATGTAACAATTTTAAGTCTTTTTTTCCCTTAGTTTTCTGTGATTGGCATTAAGGTGCAATTATTTGTGTTATGACCTGTGTAACATCTTAAATGTTCTTAGAGGAAAAAGCTTGGTAAATTCAACCGCTGTTAAAGCAGATGATGCGGAGATGTATTTTCACTGTATTCATTTCAGAGAGTATAGCTGTTAGGGAGGGAGCTTTAAAATAGCTTTACTGCTAGTTCTCGAAAGGATTATCTGCAGTATGAGACTTGATTTCAGGCTTTGGTGCTGCAGAACCTGAAATCAAGTGTGTGGCCTTAGAAGAGGTAAATACCCAACTTGACAAAAGTCATCAACGGGAGACACAGAGCGTGAGGTTGAAGGTCCAGTCCTTGACTTAAACCAGTGCTCTTCAGTTCACACCATGTGCCTTGGTTACTCGGGGTTCCTTGACAGCTATGTTTATCTTTCATCTCGATTTCTTCTCCCTTCACCTGGAGGTTCACGTGTTGCATTTCCAGCCGCCGAACACCTACAGACTTGCAATTAATGCAGGCTTAAGTTTATTTTCCTTTAGCTTGAATTCCTTTGGAAGTTGCCAGCTACTTTGGCTTTCAACAAACTTACTTGTTAGCAAAATACAATCTTTTTTATTCCGCTGCAGTTTAGAGAGGTTTGTGGTTTATTTGATTTACTTTAGGAGACCTAAAGCAGAGATCTTATCGGCACAGCTGTTAAACAATCCCAAGACAGGTAGTGCAGTGTGGCAGATAATTTGTAAGTGAACAGTGCAACACAGATCCTTCAACCAAGAAGTCTCTGCTGATCTATGAAGAGAGTTTTGAAACCTTTTCACTGAGAAATCCCTGCTGAAGTTGTAATGTTAAAGGTGATGCACAGGTTTTCCTGAGTTAAAATAGCCATCTAACCCGTGTGAAGACAACCTATTACAGTTTCAAACTAAATTCTACGCAGCAACATTTTGTTTTGGTTAGTGTGGGCAGGCTGTCTCATTTGAGGTTTTGTCTGTATGGTCTCAGGAGTCCAATTAGTTCTGCTTTAAATCTGCAGTACTTACTTGGCCATGGAAGCAAATGTTAAAGCTGCCGAATATAAATCTCATTAGTATAGATGCACACTTTGTACCATATACTAGGGAATTACTAAAGGTCACCTCTCTACTTGGTAAGAGAGTTCTCTCCCATAATGAGAACTATGGTCTCGATGAATAAAAGATATGTAACATAATTTCAATTAACTGGTGTTAGCTTTGTTCGCAGTTTGGAGAGGCCAGAACAGTGTGAGCAGAGACCCTTCCCTGTTGGCATGTCAGGTGCCCCTAAGCTTTTCTGCAGGGTTTTGGCTAGTAAGTATTCATGTTTGAGGGACGGGAAGCATATAGGGCTCACGGTCTAATTTAAAATTGCTCCGTAATTGACTGATAACATGATGATGCACTGTAGGTGAGGCTGGAAAGTGTAATACTGAGCTGAAAAATGGAGGAAATGGTCTTGAGGCAGGGGTTTTCTGTAGCTGAAGTTTTACTGGATAGTGGGATATCCACCTGGGAAGCTCTCAGGGAGAGCTTCACTTTTTTGTCTTTAAAACCAGCCTGGTTTTAAAACATAGTGATGTGCTGTTGGGGGATGGATTTGCTCCGTGGTGTGGACAAGTAGGACTTCTCACGATGTTTTAATACATTGCAAGTGATTAGTTTCTAACCTATTGCCTGTTAAAAGTCATTGAAAGTCTCCCAAGGGCACAGCAAATTAATTTCTACTTTTACTGAAGCAAAGTGCCTAAGCTCCATAGCTAGCAAAGAGCTGTTGCTGCAGAACCCTCTCTATTATATGTCTCTTTTGTCGCTGTAATGAATCTATGTGGAGTAATTACAAAAGCTTGTTTGTTTGAATGAGTAAAACTAGTACAGCAAGATGAATACTTCATCTACAAAATGACATGTTTCCTGAACGTTTGGCTTAGTAGCAATTGTACAAGAAAAATGCGATTTGCACGACTGGGCTAACGGCACATACTCCACAGTAAAATTAGAGATAGCTTTCCAGAAGGGTCTTGTGTTCTGTTATAATGCTAAATATGTTCTTCTTATGCAGATTATCTCGATAATGGCAATAATAAAATGGCAATCCAGCAAGCGGATAAACTGCTCAAAAAACACAAGGATCTTCACTGTGCAAAGGTAAGTGTGACTGCGGTGTGCTGACCTCGTTTGGTGTGAGCGTGGCTCTGGGACCTGGAGGGTCTCGCTGTGCCTTGTGAGGGGGGGTCCGTGATCTTCCAGGGATCACGGTGTTTTCTGAACCCTCTGGAACATCTCCGACTGTTCCCATTCACACAATATCGTGTTTGCATGGATCTTTGTGGTGAGGTGCCTCTAATGCCTGGAGTGTAATCGGTTACACCTGAGCTAATTGTCTAGCTCCCTGCCAAAGCCACTGCTAGCAGCTGTGGCGGATGGACTTGCCTTAAAAATGCCTCTTTTTTGACCTTAGGTTGAGATATGCATCTGTAGTAATTTGGACCAAAACATTTCCTTGGGAGGTGTAGTCCTCAGTAAAACATAGCAAGGTGATTTTGGAGGCATTTGCTCTTCTGCCTCTTGTTTCCTGCCCTCCTTGCCGTGCCCCCATTGAAGGGAAAGGAGTTCTGTTCCTTGGTTTTCTGAACATATGACTGTCTTCCTACTTTTCTCTTTTCCCTGTGGGTTTTCCTCTACAGTTCATACCGCTTCTAGATTTTGTAGCTTCCCAAGCTGAAGCGAGTGTCATTGACCTGAATCTCATTTATGTCACTTCTTCTCTGGCCACTTATTGAAAGAAAAAAAAAAAAAAAGATATTAAAATTGGCAGGATTGGTCAGTTTTCAGTCTGCAGGTAGAGAAAACTGAGTGGCAGCTGATGCCTTGGAGCAGCCTGTGTGGTTGTTAAGAAAGCACAGCAGCACTATTTGATGCAGCTTGCATTTGGAAGTTTTCCTCTACAACCATATGGATTAGATTCTTAACAAAACCTGAAGTTCTGTAGAAGTAATGAGGTGGTTGGGCAACGCCTTCTCCTCACCAGGAACGAGAGGATTTTCACCGGTAACTGCCAACTGTGTTTCTAACAGCTGCCTCTGTGTTGTGTCAATAGGTTCTAAAGGCAATTGGCTTGCAGAGAACTGGCAAGCAGGATGAAGCGTATGCTCTGGCACAAGAAGTAGCAGCGCTTGAACCCACAGATGATAATTCCTTGCAAGCACTAACTATTCTTTACCGGGAAATGCATAGACGTAAGCTTTTTCCTTTGCCTCTCTTAAAAATTGTAGTTACTAATGTACTTCCCCAGTTTCATGGAAAACATGTTAAGTCCAGGGTTTATGTATAGTTGTGTTAAGAAACTCTGAGAATTTAAATGATGCCTCTTAGAAATGCCTCTAAGGCTTTAGAGATCTCCATAAAACCAAGAACCTTGTTTAGGCTTCTCTCGTTAACGTTATTGTGTATGCAGTTCCTAAATGAATAGCATGCTAATAATCATCCATCACGATCAGCCTGTGACTTCGCTTACTGTGTTTTTAATGAAAGCTACTGGAATTTGTTGTCAGTCTGTGGTGGAGATGACAAATCACATGGTCTGTGGTTTGGAGTGTGCTTGATGCTGAGACTGTAGTCGAGAAGAAGAAGCTTCACTCAAGAAGCTGTGTGACAGGCAGAAGGGAAATCCTGACCTCTCAATTTGACAGCTAGCTTTTTTAGTCCAGTTCCTTGTAGTGTTACGGTATTTTTAAAATACTAAATCATGTCTATTTGAGTGACGGAGTAAAATTTGCACATGCTTTTCTGAAAGAAGCCAGACCTTATATACTGCTTATCTGTGGCTCTAAAGAGTTTTTGTTTCTGACGGCTTCTTGTGGTTCTTGGTGGTGGTAGCAGCAATATTTATTGTTGAACTGCTGGAGCAATGGCAGTGGGGTTAAACAACTTTTGTAGAAGTGTGTATTTGGTATCAGTCTGCAATACAGCAACTGCTTATGCTCTCCTAGTTTATTTCTTGCTCTATGTCTTTGTGTACGTGCATGTGGAGTTAAAGCGTCATTTCTTGAATAATACAGAATTTCTGTGTGTATGTGTGACTTCAGCATAAACGAATGCTAAACAACTTGCATAAGCATTAAGCTCAGGTTTCTAACGTTTAGATTTATAACTCAGAAAGAAAAT